TTTTAAGCAGCACTCTAAAATGGAAAGTAGGACAAGTAGTCACTACTTAGGCTCAGATTGTCCTTGAAGCAAAAAGTACTGTTCGAGACCCCTAATCCATTTTAGATCAGTGAAAAATAATGTCCTTAGTTTGTAACTTAAGTGTTTGATGCAAAGGACTACAACTTTTTACAAGCATTGAACAACTCATTTTCAAAGATTGCCCCTTTGTTTTACACAAATGTATATAATCTAAGATCAAGTAACCAAGGTCACCTTAGGCGACCACATTATCCTGTGTTATATAACTTCCATTACAGTATGTCTGTATATTACGATCATTGGTCATTAGTTTCAATTTGAATGCTGATAAGACAATTAAAGGCCACTTTAATTTGGCCTGAATACTTCAGAAGTTGAGAAACTAGGCAATTAAGCTAGCCCCGAGTACAGTATATCCAGGGTTAAGATTTTGTACAGCAATCTGTCTTTTATTGTTTTTCAGAGTAAAGACGTTCCATAAAATTATTCAAAGTAAATATCCTCTTTGTTTTCACAAGTATTTCCTGGGTTTAACAAAAATCATCTGAGCAGTGTCACCCCCTGATACCTTAGAAACTTTTAGAATAATATTCGAATAATTTCCCAGTACTAAACTCTTAATAGGAAGTATAAACATACTAAAACTATAAACAATTATGCAAAAATATGCTGCATATATCCACATTAATTTATATGTTAACCGCATTTCTGAACGATCAGTCTGTAACTATTTGTTAGATTTTTTAGATATGTGTGTAGACAATAAATGGGATTAGGTGCTTTGGAAAGTTGTGCGCTTGGATCGTAGGAATCCTGTACAACCTCTGTGAAATGCAATACTTTTTTAACATCCTATAATACTTCTGAGCTGTGTCTTCAATTGGCTTTCTTTGTGTTTACGTCCATGGACATTAAAGCCAGATAAATCCCTGTCATGGGTCCTGGCATGGAAGTAATGGGACATTAATAAATAATATGTACATTTAAAAATGGCAATATTCAATTTAGGAGAGTGCTTTCTTGGATCAGGCAGTTAACAAGTCACAGTCATGTGTCCAGAGCTATTCTATAGGATACACACAACAATATAGAGTAGATGTGCATTGCTTACACAGCCTGTAATACAACTAATATACCAAGGAGAATAGATTTCTGCATGAGATTTGTTTCAGTGTAAGAGATCTGTTGCTTATATGAGCTTCAATAGCCCTATCAGCTCTTTTTGTTCAAAACAGGTTTACAGTAGTATCATATTGCATATCAATTATCACATCCTTAGAATAATAAATGAATATGTGGAAACTTCTTGTCATTGCTTCCCATGGCTTCCAGCCCTGTCAGCCTCATGTATAAAGTACTGATCCTAACCTTTGCTTAGCCTGAAAAGCTGCCAGTAGTAAGATTCCTGCCAGTTGCACATACTGTAAAGCACTAGAAAGCAAAAAAAACAAAACTAAGGGAGCTGAAACATGCTGAAGTTTAATGTACTCTACCTTTTTTAATTCTTCCCTGTGCTTTTAAGCACTCTTTCCATGGTGCACTATAGTGCATTTATTTCCTCAAAAAACAACAGATTTTTCTTGTTTGGGATGAATGAAGTCCAAAAAGGTAAACATAATAATTGAATGATTTACAGAAATTAATCTCACAGGTCTTTCAAATATTGCAACATAAGTACACCAAAGGTATTCAATTCTAAATGCATTGTGTTGTCAACAATTAGCTTTAACACCTGCATGGAATCCACTGAATAAAACCTGCTATACAGCTGACAAATTTGTTTTGATTTAACTTGTGTTTTAAACTCAGTATTATACAAAGTAATATCTAAAAGTACTATCTAATACGTCAATTCAAATTAGGATAGAATGATTTGAACATAATAATGACTGCAAATAATAGCATGTTTGGTACAGTAATTCATAGCTAATTGATCTAAAAGATTTCATCCATCATTTTCGTGACAGAAGCCAGAATATCATCTTCACCAACATGGACTGTTTGTCTCTCAATTTTATGTAATTTCTTATTTTTCCACTTGTGTATTTTGGGTTTTGTTCCACAGTTTATTTTGAAGATGTATGCTAAATTTGGTTCTAATACTGCACTGCACTGTCACAGACTTGGGATCAGATGTGCCCATGTCTTTACACTTAAATGCAATTTCAACAAAATGTTATGTACTGTAAGTAAAATTAGCTAAAATATCATAACTATTCATTTTATTAATTGAAACTGTATGCCTTTATATTGAAATTATTTGATGTTTATAACCGGTGTATTAATATTTTGTACATATCTAATAAATGGTTAATAAAGACGTTACAAACTACTAATAAACAGTAGATTTACACTATTTAAATATAGCAATAAATGGAGCATGTTTTTGCTGATAATACACTTTGTAGTATTAACAATTGAACGGAACGTACAATAAATACATATTATTTATACGTTTAACTAACAGATTTGTAAAGCTTGAAACCAATTACAATGTAGTAGCAATAATTAATATCATTAACAAGCATTTTATTTCCACAAATTATATTCCATATTGCATTGTGGTATTCTTATTAACCTGACATTGATTGCTTTTTCTAAAATATTAAAAATATTATCATTCTGATAATTCTATCTTTTTAAAAATGATAATTTCAGCACTGAAAAATGCAATCCATCAGAATTTCATGTACTCATCATTTTTTTTTCATTTCTTTGTTATAAATTCAATATTTCTATTTCTCTTGAATATCTACATGATCTAATCTTTTAAATTACTCTGCTCAGATTTTGGTCTTGTTTGCTCTAGACAACAATTGCAGCTCTCTTCTCACTAGGATACCTGTTCCAGACATCCACAGTCATCAATTCATCCAAAACACTAGAGCTTGACAGGGTATTTTGTTTGCCCAACCTCTCCTATAAAATCACTCTTTTTCACATTCTTCAAGACTAGTGTAATGTGACGTACAAGTGAATGCGTACTGGTTGTGCAGCAGATATTTCACCACAGAAAGTTTCCAACGTGATCTGCGTGCAGAGTAGGTTCAACAAGTACGTTAATTACTTACTGCACTCTTCATCACTCTTCCTCTCCTATCTCCAGGATTTTGTCTATGTTTACAACACCTTCTCATCTCTATTCTTCTTCTGGCTACTTGAATTGCTCCTTTTCTTCATCCTCCAGTCCATCACTCATTCCGCTCTTGCACCACAGTGATGGAACCAGCTACCTAGATAAACCAAGACTGTACAATCTCTGAAAGCTAATTCGAACCAAAGACCCATCTCATTGTATTTTAACTTCAAATACAGTACATTATCTTGGTGTTTTCTGTTCAGGAATAAAGAGTTGTACCTCACGCGTTTATGCTTATCGCAAAAGCTTTTTATGCTATGTTGGATTCTAAGGATTTATTTGTACAGCAATTCCCCATAGTACATTACTTTCAAACACTATGTTTTTTGTTGTTAAAAATGTCTGGAATACATTTGTCAAATAAGGTATTTATTAAATAAAACTTGATACATTAGGCACTAACTACAGCAAATTGAGTTAGAAAAATTAACATCTACAAACAAATTTGTTTAGGTTGTAAGTCACATTTCACTTCTGACATATTATTTATAACTTCACAAAAAACAGTTATTCATTTATCCTTTCTTTAATAAATAAGGAAATTGATGCATACTACAATTCATTAATAACGTGCTCTACAGAACTGTCTCAGCATTTACCCTAGAGCCCAAAATTTGTTAGTTCTTTTTTGAGTGTTGAGGAGTAATTGCATTTTCATATTGATATTATTGAGTCTGAAACCCAAGACACAATCTGTGATTGAGCTCTGCTGATAATGCATCTATTTTCTTGTGTGACTACATATTGATTTATGACATTTTCCTTAGTACATAAGCATGCATATATTTAAAACTAAACATTTTATTATAGCACACTAGAATGATCAAATTCAATCTGGAATAACTATTTGAGTCTGTCATCAATAATACTGATTTATGACTGATTTCATGTGTTAGCTTAGCTACACATTCAGTTCTCATCTTCAGGACTTAAAATATGCTACAGACAAACTCAGTACCATGGACAGCACACAATGTTTCCCACAGATGGACTATAGTTATTGTTACTGTATTCTGCAGGACATTGTATAAATACATACAATCTTCAGCTCATCATAATTATCATCAAAGTCCACTATATGACTTGTTTATAAATGAGTGGTGTTTGTTCTAATGAATATCTTGGAACTGACAGCACTTTTGCGGCACCTCAAAAAACCACTAACCACATTTAGACATTTTCTTGATGGCTTTTTTTATCTTTCTCTGCATTTCTTTTATGCAGAATACACTACATGAATAACATTAGCAGGGCGATGTTAACTGGCCTTCCAACTTTGACTTTCTCAAAATTTAAAATAGCGTTAATAAAGAAAAGACCAACATGAATATGTGGCTAATATACAGTTTAGAGTACATAAGCTGAGAGGGAGTCAATTCAACTAGTATTTGGTCTTTGGAAATGTATTTTAAAAACCCACAAGTCACATTTTCTTTTTAATAAAATCTATTTCCTTGCTGCATGGCACTTAATAGAAATGCTTTCAGAAATTAACTTGATCTACAATATAATCCATAAATTGGCTTCTTAGCATATCATTGTCAAAACTAGGATGAGTCTATTTCATATGGTTACAAACAAATTAACTTTCAAGGTCACAACAGATGTCAAAACCCATGTTAGTGGTATTATTATGCAATATTTCACTAGAGGCATTGTGACCCTTTATATGGGCTGGGGATGTTTTGTGTTAGAACTTTGTCACTTCTACTTTAGAAGTGATTGGGTGGGGCAAGGCGGAGCTGCGAGTATGTTCTCCTTTTGATATAAAAAAATGAACTTCACATACATTTTACCATGGGAGTGAAGAGAATAAAGCATTACCAGAACCAACACCTACCCAAGTGTTGTCATGGTGACAATGGTGTACCAGAAAGCAGCAGGAATGCTGGTGAACTTGGTGGCTGTTGATCCTTTCTCTGCGTAGAACATCACCGTGGCAAAAATGATAATAGCCATTGTCAGGGAGAAGAGCAAGAATCCTAGCTCAGATGCGCAGCTCTTCAAAGTGTAACCCAAAATACGCAGGCCCTGTGAATGGCGGGAAAATTTGAAGATCCGAAATACACGGAAAACCCTTAAGGTTACAAAGGCACCGCTTACATCTTCATTGTCCGTCATCACTAAACCAATATAATAGGGCATGATGGCAACCACATCAATGATGCTCATAACGCTTCGAACAAACTTGTATCGACTAGGTGCAGCGAATAGGCGCAGCAAGTATTCGACTGTAAAGATCATGACACAGGCTGTATCCAAGCAAAAGAAAGCCAAGGCATAGCGCTCTCCACAAGGCTCATCCCTAACTTTGTTCGGTAAAGAACCACAGGGCACCGTCTCCACCACGTTGGCTATAACGGAAACAGCAATGAAAAATCCGGTGACATAGTAAAATACCAGCGCTAAAGTGCTGGTGTGAGGATTTTCAAAAGCCCGCCACATTGACTGGCGCAAGGTCATATCCGGCACAACTCCATCGTTATTGTTCTCCGTGTCAGCGTCATCTTGAAGCCTTTCAGCATTCTCTCGCCGGCGGTCTTTATATTCTTCATAGCAACAGTCACCAATAATTTCAGGGATTATGCCGAAAAACGCGAGTTCCTCGTCATAGGCAGATATGCATTCATGCCGTGGGTAGTGCAGTTTGCCAGTGCGATAAAAATTAAGTATGTGTCTAAAAATGTCAGGGTCTCTATCAAAAAAATACTCATTACTTTCCTCGTGGAAAAAAAAGTCCCGCTCCGTGCTTCCTAGTAAGGTGTCTGGGTACCTCTCCAAAGTATTCCTCCAGGTCTGAAACTTCGTTCCACTGACATTAAGGATGATAAGACCATCCTGTGGTCTCCGTTTTTCTCGTGGGGGTGGTGGCATAGGTGCACTGGCCACTGGCATCCATCCTATGGCCGCTGCTCGGGCAAAGGGAAGCCAGGCTGCTACTCCCGCTGCCATTCTGACCTGCTTGTCACACGAACACCAGCTAAATCAGATTACAGATCTCCCTCGGCGATTAAAAAACTACAGCGAGTTGACGAAAGGTCATCTACAAAAACAGGGTTAAAAAAAGTAAGAACAAGCATCACAACGAAAATGTTACAGAGATACAGCTGTTGTTGTTTCGTCTGGACTTTTCATGTTCCTTTCTGTATTACTTTTATGGTCAGCAAGCAAGCAGGTTGAGCATCACTAAAGCAAACAGTGAATCACATGCAGTGTAATAACTGATATCGATCAAGATACGTAAGTTGCAGTCCAGTTGGAATTAAAACACTCTGATATGATCGTTTATAATAATAATAATAATAATAATAATAATAATAATAATAATAATAATAATAATAATAATTACACGTACCTCCACAGAAAGTCGATGGATTTGAAAATAAACGCATAGAGTTTCCTTTTCTCCTTTCTCGTGTTCTTACGAAATCCGTTTTGTTCATTTAACATGAAAAAAAAACCTGTATTTTAGTACCAGAACTACAGGATATGCACGGTAAGGTGTGAACACAGCAGCAACAAGTTCAGGAGAAATTCAATCACGTCTGATTATGTTAAAATCATTCCTTGCTCTCAACACAGAACGTGCCTTATTATTTTCTTATTTGTGTTCTTCACGATAACGTTTTTTTCAGTTTTTGCTTGTATATTGTGCTCAGCTTCTCTCATCGGCTGAAGGACCACCTCTCATAAACCTGCACAGTGGGCTGAAAAAAAGCAAAAAAAAAAATAACTGCAGGCTATTAAAGCTTGTAGCTTTGGAAATGTCACAAAATCCAATAGATGGAAATAAGCGAAATCAATGCACGGATACAATGAATTGAAGAAATGTAACAAGTTAAGTCGGTCGCTTCTTCTATTTGCCCGTTCAGTCTACACGAACAAGAGTAGTGTGCACAAGTTGCTCTGTGTTCTGTAGAAAACGGAGGCGTGTCATGTGCTACAAGCATCAATTAACTCTTATGGATACTACAGTATATTTTGTTCTCATTTGTTAAGAAAATATGTTCAATAGTAAGCAGATTACTTAGAATGTGATTCAGCACCAAGGAGAGCAAACAACAAGCAGGTTTGGTGCTTTTTTCTTTAATATTTCCTCGTGTTATAGGAAACGCACACATTGAAACTATTCGCTCCGGGCGCTAAAAACAACGCAGCAAAACATAAAATAGACAGAGATTGCTTTTTTTTACAGTTGTATTCTACAGGCAACAATATTTCTCATGCACACAAGTTGTTGATCTATATCTCAGATACAAATACATGCTTAATAAAATAAAATGCCACTAGATGGAGACAGCCATTAATTTAGACACTAAATCACTAAAAGAAGGTATGAACCTACTGTAGATTCGTATGAAGCTCAAACACTGTATTAAGGAATGGGCATTAATTCCCAGCTGTCCATGAATTGATTCAATAGTCGCCTATAACATATAATATATAATTGATCTTGTCATAATACTGCCTTAGGGATCCTCACTTAAGCAAGTAATTTATCTGTGTTATAGATTGAGAACATTAATGGTTTGTGTTGCCACTGCAATTAATAATTATTATAACAATAGTAGTAGGAGGGGTTGTGGAGGCATCGTTTAATCATTTTTAAGAAAGTGAAAAGGTTAGAATTTAATGATACAAAATGCTGTTCTGTGTTTCTAGCGCAATTGCTTCAGTCCAATTGCATTGATAAAAAGAAAATTATTGACATCTGTTTTGCCAATTGACCACATTCGCAGCCTCCACAGAGTTCAAGACAGCTTGTATTCATGTTTTATTATTTGCCCCTCTTCCCTCTGGCAATATGTGTGCATGTGTGTGAAGACCTTCCCCTGCCATAATAATGTCAATATCAGCTACAAAAAGTAAGCTGAAAAATCAAAATACACATCACGTGAACTGCCTTCATTGATTAGACAGTATTTTTAAATTATTTGATAGTCATTTAATTTCCAATAAATCTCTTTTTTCCTCTTCTTCTTAGTGGTCATAGTAGTACTGCAAATAGCAGTTGTTAAAGTAACAACAATATGGGATGGGCGATATGCAATTATAATTAAAACACCACAGCACATACAGACAAAAATGATTAAGAAATCTCCTTCTATGCAGTACCTTTGCACAGATAGGTCTCATCTGTATGTGGCAGGATTTTAATGAAAAATATTTCCCTTGGGTGTGGTAGGATTCCAAATGTTAGCAGATTAGTATTATTGCAAAATGATTTTTATAATGATAAAAAATCTATCTTATGATAACCAAATGTCATGGTATCATTAGTTAGACAATATTTTCATTAAGCATTATTCATAGGAACAATATAACAAATATGTTATTTTAGGGAGCAATGCTTCCATCTGCTAACTTTTTTACTTCAATTTGCTATTCTATTTACTTCTTCTATTTACTGAGAAGTGTAATAGCGCAGTAAACACCCATTTTATCTTTGTGACTTTCTGAATCTTTGAACGTAGACAAAAATGTCAAACTGATTTCTTCTCTTCCTCAGGTTGCAGGACAACGTGCTGTTTTTAATAATTTTAATATAGAAGTGTGCACAAGTACCTACTGTATAGCACCAGAAGCACTCATGATGAATACATCTACCAATGCTACCAATTCTAATTCAAAATGATTGTATTTAACTTTACTTTTGACTTTTGGATTGAAGTGAACCTTCAGAGGAATTGAGATATAGCATTTCCCAAATTGTGTTATACAGTACAATTTTGGCTGTAGGGCAAGTTGATTTTATGCAACTGCTGAAGAGAATTATGGAAAATTCTGTTTGGACTTCCTTAATTTGAAAATGATAACTATACTGTAGTTTGTTTATTGTTGTGAGCAGAATGTCTGTTTGGGGCTATTTAATTTTATCACTGTCAATATTGTAAAATACATATTTAAAATCCAGTAACAAGTGCCCATTAATCCTTATGCATTGGCACTGGTTTCTTTATTATATTGTAGGTATCCATTATAAGTATTAACAGTGAAGCACAAATCAGAGTTCACAAGTGGAAACTATGTCAATTTACAATATTTACAACTATTTACAGTATATCTAAGAACAATAGACACGTCTTTATCTAAAGTGTCATGGGAGAATAAAGCAAGCTACCCAGCCATGGTTTAGAAAACCATTTTAGGCTTTAGGTTTTAGGTTTTAGGTTTTAGGCTTCTTTAAAAAAATGACTGGATGAGATCCTCTGATCAATTAACTACCAAATGTACCAGCTAGGCTGAATGGCCTCCTCTTGCTTGTGTCTACTCTTGCTTATTACATTTTTAATTGTAACAATTACTGGGTTAATTATTCCTGAAGAACATATTAACTACTAAGTGAAGAATTCGGCTTTTCAGGACTAAGGTGGAAAATACTAGATTATTTTAATATAAGGGAGCATTTATTGTTTTAATATTTCACATGAAAAGATCTGAATAATGAAATTCTATTAAGCTTTTAATTATAAAATTGGAAATTGAGTGTATTTATTTTTTAATTGTGCCTTTTAATTGGAAGCTTGTAATTATTCCTAATATTCCTATTTCATATGCTCTGCTACTAGAAATAATAATATTTAACATACAGTACATAAATAAGTTTTGAATAAATAATTGAATTGTATTTAGTATAGTGCCCATGAATTGCTGTGATGTATACGGTATATGGTTATTACATTATATATGTATATATTCCAGGATGGAATTATATTCATTTAAACAGTGTTAATATTATGCTAATATAAGAAAACTAATGTGATATATTATTTGCCCTGGGCTTCCACAGATGAAGATGTACTGTATTATACGTTTTTCCCCTTCAACCTGTCATGTATTAATCTACTCTCATAGTGGTTCTCTCAGATCTATGTAGTATTGTTAGATATGCTATACAGTTTGCTTTCTCTTAGGCCCCTGTTGGCAGCTCTCAGGAGAATTATTTGCCTATTAATTATTTATATTATAATTAATATTAAATATTAATATTTATATTTTTAATAATACTAGATTATCAGTAGTGCCTGCTCACATTCTGTTTACTGAATTCCCTGTAGATCTTTGGATTTTCTACCTGTTTGGTTATTTTGCGTGGCTGAAAACATGACGCAACCTGGTCAAATAAAGAGCAGTTCTTACCAGCAACAGTTCACATCCTGACATGTTGTGAGACATATAACATAAGTTGTTTGTAATCTCCTCTGAAGTGTTAGCAAACACTGGTACGTCATTGCAGTCAGGTAGTTTTGAAGTTGTTGTACCAATAGCTAATTCCACTGCACCAGGGTTAGGAGAAAGACCTTTAATTGTCCTTTCTTTAACATACTGTATTTTGCTCAACAGACTGTGGTCAATTATGCTTTCAATAAGAAATAAATCATTGGGGAGATCATGTGACCAAGGTTTCAGCATGGTACACAAAGACTCCCCTATTTTCTAGTCACCAGATATCTTTTTGGAGGTTTGTTTATGGTGATCAAGGATGGTAGAGGCACAGAAGAAAATGGACTCATCTCCTTTTTCTCCAACATGCAGATGCTGAAAGAGTTTAACCATCCAGAACTGACTAAAATAGCTGTTCTGGAGCAGAAAGCTTTGGATCAGCCTATGGAAGATGTGAGAGTCGAGAAGGCATCAGGGACTTCTCAGATTGTATTAGTGGTGAAGAACGTGTTGACAATAACTATTCAGCAAAATTGTTCTAAATTAGACTCCTCCCCAGGTGAATAACAGAGAAAAAAGATGGAGTTAAGCTGAAATATCTGGCGAGCAAAGTAATAGAGCATGAGGATAGATAAAGATAAACCAACAAGGTCTTACTAGAGGGATCAGTCCATAAGCCCCTGATTGTTTTTCTGAATAAAACATCCTCTGAGTGTTTTCCAGCTCTAGCCCAAAGAGATCTGTGTATTGAAATGGCTCGTGGGAAAGATCTATTCACTTTGATCACCTGAACTACATGGGATTTTGAAGCTGAAGCTGAGGCCAAATCAACCCTGATATGAGAACGATACTGTCCCACACTAATATGGTCCTTAAACTAGCCAGTGACTGCTTGTTTTCCCATTTTAATGTCTAAACCTTAATGCTGCTCCTTAAATCAGAACTGGAGTCAGAAGTTGTATTGTTCACCTGAGACCTCCCACCTCCTTTCCCAGCAGAGACCAAGCTCCTTGAAGAGTAAATTCACTGGGGAATGGCTAAACCACATGGACGCATATTTCCCTAATCTATGGAAAATATCACCATTTTATACCTAAATCAACAGTTAAGCACAGGTATTTCTCAGTGCTTTACTTCAGGACTGACTCCTGAACTAACTTAACCAAACGTTCTAGCTTTGCCACAGGTGAAAACCAAAAGGAAGTGGACTCACCTCAAGATATTCAATATGGTACAGTATCCTTTAAATTAATTTATACTCTTTTAAATATAAATATAATCTGTTTTATTGTTTCATTGTTTACAGCTTACCTACATTGTAAAAAAGATGCAAATGATTTGCCAACATAAGCACTTTCAATGTCTTTATAAAGAAGTCTCCCCCCAAAACAACTGCAAATATTGTTTACAACTAGACTTTTTAATGTATTGAAATTTTTTTTTCAATTTGCTTCACTCAATACATGCAAAAACATAAAGGGGGGAAAACTACTTTTTACTGGGAAATGACAATGAAAAATGACAAAAAAATGAAATATTTTGTTTATTGAAGAACTCCCTCTCACCAAGTAAACAAAACAGTAGGGGTTTTAATTTATTGTGAAGACATTTTCTGATTTCTGAAATCAGAATCTGGTAACAGGGGAAGAGAAATTTGAGATACTTGCAAATAAAATAAAAAAATCTGAAAAAAACTGCCTTTGTGATTCAGTGTGCCCTTTTGTCCCA